ACATTATTATTTCTCACCCCGACAAAGATTCTCATCATTAACGCCCCCGCGACTGGTGTAGGGAGTCCAACACTCATATAAATATTCCATTCCTATAATAGCCTATCCATTATGTACATGTATTTTCTACATGGATACCAAGTTTCAAGTCGATCGGATGCGTGGTTCAGTAGTTATAACGGAACATCCGTAAAAACCACTCTAGATTTATATATTAGTATAGATTTACGTTGTACAAAATACGTTCACGAACAGCTTTAAAAAAATATGACAAAAGCGTCTGTTAGTCTTAAAGTCAAGAAATTGAAGCATAAACAGATAAGCTAATTATCCTATCCTGTTAACAAATAAAATTACGCTGATTCTTGCATTGCTCTGTTTATTTTGTGATATATCTTGCTTCATTGATCAATAAGATCAAATGAAAAGACAATGTTTCTCACGGACAAATAGAAAGTTTGTTTGAAATTACTCTATGTTCATGAATCACTTTTGCTTATAATTATATTAGAAAACATAGTAAAGCTATTAATGTATTAATATGATATGAATTAATTTATTATTAAAGGTTTTTTATTTTATATTTCATATATAATTCGCAAATTACTAACGAAAGTCCGGACCTCCACGGTTTCACATATCACTCAATTGTAATTGAGATTATTAAATAGCTTATTAGTTTTTTAATCTATACGTTTCTCAGATTAGGTGTAGCTAAGATTTAAATGAATAGTACAAATTATATAATCTAGTTATTTAGTCTAACTAGATTATATTATATATAATCTAGTTAGATTATATAATTTGTACTATTCATCTGCTAACTAGCTGACCCGGCAGACTTCGTAGTGCCTCAATCGATAAATAAAAGACCTAAACTTTTGTATAAAATAAATTTAAGACAAACAAAAGGAATCCGTCTGACGGGGGACACATCAAAGGAAAACCAAATTGTTATTTTTATTTAATTCCGAGCATTTTCATACTTATTTACCTATCAAACCTTCTCTGGACTTCCACTGATCATTCAAGACCAAATTTAGCCAAATCGGTCCAGCCATTCTCGAGATTATGGAGACTAACGAACAGCAATTCATTTTTATATATATAGATAGATTTCATAAATCATTTCCAATTTACTAACGAAAGTCGGACCTCCATGTTTCACATATCACTCAATTGTAATTGAGATGATTAAATAGCTTATTAGTTTTTTAATCTATACGTTTCTCAGATTAGGTGTAGTTACGATTTAAATGAAATAATGCAAAATATATAATCTAATAATTGTCAGAAGATAATGGGTCCTAACTTAACATAGATTTGAATTACACGCGAAAGAATAAAATCGTTAAATCGTTTATCGGATAAAAATAAGTAGTAGAGTAACATTTATTTTGTATGTATAGTAAGTCCGTACGGGTACATACGAACTTTTTTTTTTTAATTATGTATAAGGGATTACTGATGAGCCGGAGGCCTTTCCAGTTTCACCAGGACAGGTGGGCGAGCAAAGGCTATCCTGCAATTTAGTCTGGTGGTCTTTTGAGTCTGCGCGGGTAGATAACACCACCCCGCCTATTTCTGCCGTGAAGCAGTAATGCGTTTCGGTTTGAAGGGTGGGGCAGCCGTTGTCATATACTGAGATCTTAGAACTCATATCTCAAGGTGGGTGGCGCATTTACGGTATAGATGTCTATGGGCTCCAGTAACCATTTAACACCAGGTGGGCTGTGAGCTCATCCACTTATCTAAGCAATAAAATTAATTAAAATAAAACAGGATTGTAGGGATAGGAGGGTGTTTATGTGTCTGCGAACCGCGTGAGTCTCGCGAAAGTCATGATGTTCCTTATGCAAGTTTTGTAAATTGTCACCTTGTTCCGAAGGGACATTTTACTCCGCTTACATATCACGGGATGGAAGTCTGCCGAGAATAAACGCGACACGGTCGCAGACTCATTTTGTATGCGGGCGGAATGTCATTGATGCATCCAGGGTGACACCCAGGTACTTGACCTTCCTGGCCCAGGGAACAAGTTGGCCGAAGATCGTAATCGGAGGTGAGGTACAACCATCGTGTGTATATGTGCCGCGAAGCCGTTTGAAGAGTGGGACTGCGATATCTATACTAATATTATAAAGAGGAAAGATTTGTTTGTTTGTTTGTATTAAATAGGCTCCGAAACTACTGACTGAACCGATTTGAAAAATTCTTTCAGTGTTTGGAAGCTACGCTATCCCCGAGTGACATAGGCTATATTCTTTATTTTTTTTATTATTAAGGATCCTTACTAAAACTCCAATAATGTAACCCAAGGTCTAAAAAATTACCTAAAATATTCTTTACATCGCGTGCGCTCCGAAAACGATTGATGATAGAATAAAATAATGTACTATGACTTTGTAGAACACATTATTATTTTCAAAAAGTGTCGCGACAGCATATGTCTATATTTTTCTGCCGTGAAGCAGTAATATGTTTCGGTTTGAAGGGTGGGGCTGCCGTTGTAACTATACTGAGACCTTAGAACTTATGTCTCAAGGTGGGTGACGGCATTTGTGAGATTGTAGATGTCTATGGGCTCGGGTAACTACTTAACACCAGGAGGGCTGTGAGCTCGTTACTTTATAATCTAGATTTGATTTATGTTTAGGTGGTTGTTGTGAGGACAGCTTTAGGCCCCGGTAATTACATTACAAAGTGATGACGGTAGTGGTCACGGTGGGCTGGGAGCTCGTGTATCTGTCTCTGCAATAACAGTAATTTAAAAAGTTCAATGCACCAAATTATTTCGATTGCTTTTTTTTTCATCTAACTCAATCCAAAAGAAACTGAATACGGATTGAACAGTATGATGCCGGCTACAGTTACTGTCCAGTTACCATTCTTTAGCTGTTAAATATTGTTTAATTTATAAGCGACTAGCTGTACCCTTCCGCTTCGCTGGGCATTTAAAATTAACATTATTATTTCTTACCCCCACAAAGATTCTCATCATTAACGCCCCCGCAACTGGTGTAGGGAGTCCAACACTCACATTAATATTATCCATTAAGTATCCATTAAGTACATGTATTTTCTACATGGATACCAAGTTTCAAGTCAATCGGATTCCAAAACCACTGTAGATTTATAAATTAGTATAGATAGCGGCAAAAAATGTATATTAATATAATTATTTTACAAATAATCAAATCGCTCGAGGCTTGGACTGAAATAAAGAACAATTAAGCTATAAAATTTAAAAAGATTTGTAAAATAAACAACAAAAATCTTAAGCCGGACAGCGATTTGGTTAACTGAATAATGAATTCAAAACTGCTAAACTCGTATCCAATTCGCGTTTGCTTACGGAATTGTTTACGAGGGAAATCTAGAATATTATTTGAACGAGTTGTTCGGGCACAAAATCCAAAAAAAAGCCCGGGCGAGGATTAGATTAACCGCTAAATCTTATAAATTGTGGTCAACGCAATCAGTGTACCACCTGCCAACAATCATTACGTCTGAGTATTGACAAATTACGGTAATAATCGACAATGACCGGTCGGAATCTCGACTTAATACCTAACGGGTCAGACTATGATGTGCTGCGCTTACGATACGATTTAACGCGGTGACTTGCTTGTATTTATTGAGAGCAGCGTTTTTTAAACAGTAAAACTGCTTGTAAGATATACTGGGACAGTGTGTTAGAGGTGTTACGGTATCTCCCGATTCGTTAACTATTTCTACTTCTGTCACAAAGCATTAAGATTTATTATCATTTATTATCATATTAATCACTTATTATTTATTGTTATTATTATTATTTATATTTGTTTAAAATCTTATTAATTATACACTATTTAAAAAAAAAAGATATTAAAAATACAATTTCCTAAACGCATTATAAAAATAGATTTCCGCCGATGGCGGTGTCTACGACACAAGCCACCAGTGGTTAGGACTTCAGAGTGAGAAACCTCCTTACAATACCGCGCAGTATCGAGGATTTATTATTATTATCATCATTTATTATTAAGGTTTATATTCATATTAGCTTACGCGACTACGACCGTACGTCTGAACTATGATTGTCCAAATAACAAAAACTAATTAGTCAGTGGCAAAAGCAATTCTGATAATTCGATTATTATAGTCTTTATGGGTTTTTAATTTGATCATACCACCATTAAGCCGGGCATGACCATAGTTATATACCTAGACCATAGACCATGTCATTTTCAGAATGCGTGTTGTAGATTTCATTACTTGTTCTATACCTACTCTTCATAACATGATTAATTACCCGATGTGAAAATCGAATCCTAGGGTCGCTAATTACTGCGCCACCAAGTTAGTCTTCTAATATTATTAGTTATATAGTAACAATATTATTAATTTAATTTAAAGTTGATTTTATTCAATTTAAAGTGTGGTTAAAAATGTTATTGCAGTCGCGTAGAAATCAGATATGTTATGTATAGAATATATTTAAAAAAAAACACGTGTGGCACTTGGGGACTGCCGCGGTAAAACTATTGCATAGCATTTTTTATCAATTTATGCAATTATAATTAGACAATAATAATTGAATATTAACAAACAATTATAAAATAAGACCACGCTATATTTATAAACATTAACAAAAGCAAAACATTAATTGTCCCCTTCACACTCATAAGCTAGACCGCGCGAGAGAGAAATGGGCAGACTTTTCATGATGCGCATGCAGTGTTGAACGCGAGCTACATGGTAGGCGGAGTGGGGGGTGTTAGGTTTTATTTTCGTTACAGAATTTCTTGATTCGGTCGCCGCGCTCAAAACCCGTGATAAAAGCTATGCAAAAGCTTAACTATTTATTTTTGACCATGTGTCGTTTGTATGCTCATAATTAAAAACGTGGTATAAATATGAAAGGAGTGAGTATGCGAGTTAAAATTATTTTATTTTGTTAACAGATATACGAAATCATCAATAATGGGCTAGCGTTACCACGGGAACACGAAAGCAAAATGAACGAAAGTCGCGAACGCTTTCGACGCGAGAGGGAGCGAGAGAAGAACACCTACACGTCTCCCCGTCTCGCTCTACGCCGCGTGCTCCTGCTGGCTGAAGGCAGACAGTTCCGGGAAGCGGCTGCTATTGTATCAAGACTTGGACCGGGCGTGTTGCAGAGTGTGGTCTCTGACTTGCCATTGGACTTGTTAATTGAAGCTTTACCTCATTCGGCGCATCTTATTGAGACGCTGCTAAATAGGTTAGTCTATTAATAACATTTATCTTTTGACGTGACAACGTCTTATAATTCGATGAAGCCGGCTGCACACACGAAAAAACATGACTTATGCGGCGTTACCTCGCTCTGAGGCGTTTTAATTTATAATTTAAGGCTTGAAGTGCAAGCGAGAGCGCACAACGAGCGACAAAGAGGCACAATCGGCCTCCGCGTTCGGCAGCGTTCGACATCTGTCTCTCTCCTACTTGAGTGAGCGATGCATCCGCGTGGACAGCTGCTATACAATTATACATTTATTAAATACATTTTTTCATCAAGTATGAAGTTCAGTAAAAAGTGAATGTGATTTCCATTTACCTCCTTCTCTATATCCATCCAAAATATCTATCAAACAACTAAATTTAAAATTTTCATTTGAAAAATGAAACCATTCCATCAGTATTTTCTTATGACGTTGTCACGTTCAACTATCGTCAGTAAAACGATTTTACAGACAACCGATTTTTTTTACATGTTTTTATTTCCTTGGTTGATATGTTTACGTAATGGCCCACACATAGGAACTATTTTGTGTCTTATTACCGCGAACTATGCTTTTCGATAGGACTCTGATACTTCGAGCTTATGGGTCAAAGGTGGTGGCGTTGTATTGTCTCATGGATACCGGTATCCATCTAACGCCAAATGGGTTATGAGCTCGATCTCCTAATGAAGTCCTAAATAAAGAAAGATATTGCGTCGATATTTTAATAGGAGGAGAAGAAATGTATGAAATGAAAATAGTTGAAACTGAATTATATTTTTAATCATGTCGAATAATTCATTTGTGATTCAGGACGTTTTATTAAAAAGATAATTTCAGTCGCTAACAAAAATTGAATTACTACGTATCTGATGTCAACCTTAGAAAGTCACGGGACACATTACATTTTCAAAAATTATATGTATATCTTCTTAAATTGTAAATTATGTAGTTCTTAGTATTACTTATGTTTTACCACGAATAATATTACGGCACCTTGCATAAAATGTAGTATGTAGGTAGGTCGGCAGATAGGAATAATTATTCTAGGGTTGGCAGACGAATAGTTTGTACGTTGTGCATGCATAACATTACTTTCAACTACTATTACTATCAAGAGTTCGATGTTTCTTGTGGCGGGTAGCCATCATACAACGCAAGATAATTGACAGATGCCTGAATCTCGCTTACGACATTTTCAAGATAAAGCGCATATATACAAGTTCCGAACAACAACATTCGGACCGTCGGTCTACCGAGCAATATCACCCGCTCGGTGGAAGATCTTCCTTTCGTCGTTTATCCCCAAACTGGTGACCTCCGACGTGATGTGAACACGCAACCTTCTGATTCATCATCAGCGCATCAAGAACTTCGGCTACCACAATCCCCGCATTCTCGCAGATAAAAGCACGTCATTGACAGTCGTCCCACAGCAAGCCAGCATCGCAGCCTCAACAGGACCATCGCAGCCGACTCACCGCGCTTCCTGGTCCTACGGCACGCAACTTCACTGCCTCATCACGCCGCTACAGTTCATCGCAGCCCACGACCGGATCATCAACGCTTGGGGTCACACATCTCCGGCGTGGCAGCTCTGCATCACATGGACTACGCACGATACGCACGCAACATTCAAGCTCAGTCTCGACTCACCGCAGGCTTCGAGCAGCACTGGCCCTTGCAAGCTAATCTCAGCACGGACAACGCTAACTAAAAATGACCCGACCTCCAGTCTCGGAGGGGAGTGATGTGGCGGGTAGCCATCATACAACGCAAGATAATTGACAGATGCCTGAATCTCGCTTACGACATTTTCAAGATAAAGCGCATATATACAAGTTCCGAACAACAACATTCGGACCGTCGGTCTACCGAGCAATATCACCCGCTCGGTGGAAGATCTTCCTTTCGTCGTTTATCCCCAAATTTCTAATTGAACTTCAATTAAGTTTAACCCATTCAAATAGCTAAAGAACTTTTTTGTTATAATATTGTTTTTTCAAATTTGAAGCTTTAAAGCTTGGCTTTCCTGTAAAGTTGCAAAAATGTCGATTAATCGAAATAACTTTTCACAAGTCGAAGTGATTGTTCTTTTCCCGAATGATTCTGACCAATTAATTATTAACAAATTTACAGTTGAGTTTGTTTTCTTCTTTTAACAATTTCCGATCGATTTAGAGATTTAGAATATTTTTATTGTTAAACTGAAATTAATTTATATTCAATTTATAAAAGTTATTTTAACGGAAAGTTAATTTATAACGAAAATTCGTTTCAAGTACACAACCTGATTTGGAAATTTTCTTTGTTGAATTAATGTTGAAATGTCTTCCAAATATTTACACCGTGCGTTTAAACTTGATTTCCGCTAAATAATGATCCGGTGTTTGCTTATGGCGGAGGCTTCTTGCTCGACTGCGCGCGCGGCAGGATGTTAGCGTCACCGAAATTGGGTTCGAGAACTCATAGTAGAGGTTCTTGGGGCACAATAGAATTCTAGTGATAGCATTTTATAAAACACCCGCTTGATATTGAACGCTTTGGTTTTTTTTTTTGGTGATTTGTAATTGTTCAATGCCGAGCATGGGACCTGATTGACGGATAGATATTCTCACCACGGAGCATCGGCCATAGCATGGGAAAATCCGTACGCTGTATACGCGTGTAGAGCATCGTTAGATCTTTGAATAAAGAGTTATAATCAGAATATTATGTGTGCTAGAGTAACCTTGACGGGTTATCCTAGCTTCAACCGACCTGTAGGACGCTCACTTTGCCGTTACTTCGCCTGGCGACTTTGCTAACACTAGCCCTAGCAAGAGCAGTGCTTCGCAGAATCTACCAGCGGATCGGAAACGCGACCCACTGAGAAGATCCCGCGAGAAACTCATTGGGCTGTGTCTGTGGATTAGTTCGTTTGTCGAACTCTTCGTTGTAATGGACAAGTTCGACGAGAACGGTGACCGGTGCTTGGAATGCTTTGGGCATTCCAAGCACTGGTCACCGTGCCCAAAGGATCGTTTGGAGCCTCTGGGTCTGCGGAGGGACTTCGGTTCCCTCTGTATTTTGTACCGCATGTTCCATGGGGAGTGCTCTGAGGAATTGTTCGAGATGATACCAACGTCTCGTTTTTACCATCGCACCGCCCGCCACCGGAGTAGAGTTCATCCATACTACCTGGAGCCACTGCGGTCATCCACAGTGCGTTTCCAGANACTTCGGTTCCCTCTGTATTTTGTACCGCATGTTCCATGGGGAGTGCTCTGAGGAATTGTTCGAGATGATACCAACGTCTCGTTTTTACCATCGCACCGCCCGCCACCGGAGTAGAGTTCATCCATACTACCTGGAGCCACTGCGGTCATCCACAGTGCGTTTCCAGAGATCTTTTTTGCCACGTACCATCCGGCTATGGAATGAACTCCCCTCCACGGTGTTTCCCGAGCGTTATGACATGTCCTTCTTCAAACGAGGCTTGTGGAGAGTACTAAGCGGTAGGCAGCGGCTTGGCTCTGCCCTTGGCATTGCTGAAGTCCATGGGCGACGGTAACCACTTACCATCAGGTGGGCCGTATGCTCGTCTGCCTACAAAGGCAATAAAAAAAAAAGAAAGCACCGATGGTGAATGGGGAGGATTCTATGTTCAGCGTGTTGGTGCGTGCGTTCTATTTCTGTCTCATGCGAGGTTTGGACGTTGTTTGTTGAGAGACAGGAGGTTTTAGTCGGTTCGACTCCGACATGCTCCGCCCACCAACCCCAGAGGAGGGCGGAAGTCCGGTGATTTCGACATGTTTTGATATTTTTTAAGCTTTCTTTAAATCATGAGTGTCCTTCGTATTAATAAAATGGATATATGTATAAAACTAAGCAATATACTTTTGAAGTGAAGTTTAAATAGGTTAATAAAAATGTATTACAATTAATATTTCTCTCGATTAAACATTAGCTGATTTTAATAACAAGTAGAAAGATATATTGATAACATTCACCGCTTACCCACTTCACTACAAACGGGTCAATGACACTGATCTAAGATTACGCATGCTTTTTACTTTTCATCTTTCTCTGCAAAAGAAACTAAGCCGTAGCACTTAAGAAATAAATACCACTTTAATTAAAGAACTTGGACCCAATTCTTGTATGCAATAAATCAAATTAAAATATTAATTGCTCGCAAGCGAAACTGACCTCTACACCTGTGAGTTAAGGTTCGTTGGTCGCGCAAGGATATATGTACGTGCTCGTTTTATAGGAAACGATGAAAGTGCTTTACGAAGAATCCAGACTTTGGACCGCTTTCACGAACAGATTGAATTTATTGAAAAAAAAAAACGGACTATGAGAGTAAAATTGTCAATCATTTTCGAAATGTTTTTCTGTTTAAAATATCAGCCAGGAGGGGTGAGGATCGCCTCGGGGTGGCGCCGCGTGTCTGGTTGTAGTGTTGACCGCGGGAACCCCCCTACTCTGACCGCGTTTTGACCCCGGACGGAGATCGGACGCCGGGTGTAAGAGTGCAGGGGAGTCGTTTAGTGGGTGGGCCCTAAAATTCATTGGACCCGCGGACTGCTCTCAATACCTGTAGATCGTTGAGTCCCAGATACCCCACGCGCGTCCTAGGCGCGGGGACCTCGCAGGAGGTTCGGACCCCGGCCCGAAAAAAAAAAAAAAGAATTTGCTAACAGACGCCCGGGCGTCTCCAAAGGAGACCTAACAACTCAAGGGCAACTGCTTCGTGGATGAATATGTTAAGTGTCTATTGTGGTGGGTCGAAATTACGCCGCCTCGCACGGGTAGGTACCACCACCCAGCCTATTTCTGCCGTGAAGCAGTAATTCGTTTCAGTTTGAAGGGTGGGGCAGCCACAGTTGTACTGTAAGCACTGAGACTTTAGAACTCATGGTTCAAGATCGATGGCCGCATTTACATTGTAGATTTATATGGGCTCCAGTGACCACTTAACACTAAGAGGGCCGTGAGCTCGTCCACTCATCTTAGCAATAAAAAAGTGGGTCGCGATTCCAATCCGATTGTAGATTTAGCCACGGTATGGTTAGAGTTAGTTAATTCTTTCAGGTTGAGTCCGTGAATTTGTCTACCCGTCCGTAGTTGGAATAGCCTCGTACGCTATAAAAGATTACGTACGTAAAATACTTCAGAACAGTGCCTTTTGTAACTGTCTATCAGTCTTATAGTATGGACATACTCATATAAACGGGTGACTGTCAATAAATAAATCTAAAACAACATAACTTCAAAGCTCATCAATATTCGAAGCTGTAGAAATCAGTCAATACCAATCATATATGACATTGCGTAATGTGTTTGAACTGGACGATTGCGTAACAAAAAAAATTGACGTTTGAGAAACGGAGACATATAAGTTTACGAGCTTTCGGCGAATTGAGTTAGGGAGTCCGGTGAAAGTGCCCTGGCCGGTTACGACCAGAAATTTAAGGGTTAACGCCCAAGACGATGGTGAAGAAACCATATGAAAGTTCTTGACACTTAAGAATAAATCTACTTGAAATGTGTCTGCATAGAATAAACTTTTTGATTTAAAAAAATCTGGGTGCTCTGGAAAATGTATACGAATGTCAAGTTTAAATAAAAAAACTATGTATAATTTTTATAATAAATGGAAGAAATCACGCACGGCCAGCCCCAATTTAGGAACTCCTGTGTCATGGATCCTAGAGGGTGCTAAACTAACTTATATAAATGTTTAAATATATACATAATTTTTTTTTTTTTTCCACAGTAGAAAATCGCCGGATCCCCACCCGCGCGGCAGGTGGGGTATGTGGGAGTTGAACCTCACTAAAAACTCCTGCCTCTCACAACCGGTGCCCTACCTCGGACCGGGCCGGAGCCCAGTCGGGGCTATTGAAACGGCGGGACAGGGTTGACGCAGAGCACATTACATCCATCCCACCGTCCCATGGACGCCGGACCGGCGGCCGCCAGCGACACGACCACCGGTTCCCTCGTTCAGTGGGCCGAGAGCCCGCTTTGATGGCGCCGCGTTACACCTTCCCCCAGAGCGGTCGGGGGAACGCGGTCTACCATCACCCGGCTTCCCACTGCGGGTGAGCGTGCAAAGCACGCCACCCCACGTCTGGGTCTCTCCCCGCACAAAACGGGTGGGACCCCTAGCTCTTAGGGGGCCAGGTCACTGATACGACCCCGGTCCCGACCCCCTGCTCGGCGGCGGCGGGTTTCTGCGTAGTGAGGAGAGCTTTGCCTCACTCGCCCCGCCGCCTCCTTCTGCGAGATGGTGCACTCGCAGAAGTCGAGCATAGCCTTCCAGGACTCATCGCCGCCAAGCATCGATGCCACGACGCCAGGCAGCGACAAGTCAGGTCCTATCTTTGCGACCAGGACACGGCGCTGCACCTCCCAAGCGGGGCAGACAGCGAGCGTATGCTCCGCCGTGTCCAGGTCGTGTCCACAATGGTGACACCTCGTCGTCGGCTCAGCCCCTATCCGGTGCAGGTACTTCCCGAAGCATCCGTGCCCGGTCAGCACCTGCACCAGACGAAAGGTGAGACGTCCTTCGCCACGATTCACCCAGTCATCAAAGACTGGGCAAACCGCCTCGACGGTCCGTAGCCCCCACGTGGGGTTGGCCAATCGCCTCGACCACGACTCGAGCACAGACCGCCGAGAATGGGCCTTCCGCGCCCGCAGCTCACTTTCGGGGAGACGCGCCACGCCCCGAGCACGAAGCTCGCTGCGCCAACGATAGTCGGCAGCGAGCGACTCCGCCTCCAGCTCCCATGGCGGCGTCCCCGCCAACACACACGCCGCCTCGAAGGAGACGGTGCGATATCCGCGGATGACCCTGATGGCAACGGTGCGCTGTGGCCGGCGCAGGAACCGAGCCATAGTGGCCCGGTTGCGCGGCTCAGCCCATACAGGTGCACCGTACAGGGCCATCGATCGCACCACCCCCGCGTAGAGGCGGCGCACAACCTGGTCCGGTCCCCCAATATTCGGGAGCAGCCGGCTCAAAGAACCGGCCGTCCTCATCAATCGGGGGACCAGCTGAGCAAAGTGAGCACGAAAAGCCCACCGGCTGTCTAACACGAGGCCGAGGTACTTCAACTGCACCCCGACCCCTATCCGGACGCCTCCAACTACGATGTGGGTGTCAACGGGTGGCGCCCTCCGCGGCCCGTGAAACCACAGAGCCTCGGATTTACTGAGCGCCACGTCGAGACCCAGCCTCTTTATCCTTCCGACGACGAGGGCCACCCCCGCTGTGGCGAGACGGGCAGACTCTCTATAATCATCGAATATATACATACATAGATAATGTTATGCGCTGGGGTCCGGGATAAATAAAAATTATACCGAACTGCAAATTGAAACTCTATTTGACTTAAAACGTTTAAAACACTGACAGAACACTTTACAACTCCTAATCCAATTCTTCCGCTTCGCTTCAGGTGATTTGTTCGCTGTTTCGCTTCGAGTGTTTCGGATTACTAACTGCCTTCGTGACATCCCTGCAACGCTTTTATAGTCAATACGACATCCCTAGAATTATCGAGAACATTCCTCACAAGTCGAGTAATTTTGATATGCGTTTCCGCCATTTGACAATAGATGGCTCGAGCCATCGCTTCTCGAGCGTTCTCGACTTTACTACTTCTTTTGATATTAGTTTTTGCTATTCCACGATAGATGGCATTGCTCTTACCGACGTAACAATAAATAGCCAGATAAAGAGCAAACAAATCTGTTCATCAGACGTTTGCCCGATGAGAGAAACGAACCCAAGACCATCGGTGCAAGTGTCAGTGCCGCTAATTACTGCACCACCGCGTTAGTCTAAGTTAATGAGCACAAATTATAACAGGACTATGACATGATATTCGCGAACTGTTCCGATTCACACGACATTCTTGTGGGAAGTGTTGTATTATTTTTGATTTTGTCTCGAGATAGCTGCAATTCCCGTTATGTGCAGTACCGTTAATATTAAGCCTTAAACAAGGTTATGAACGGCTATCATACAAGAGTTGAGGTTAAAGGATCGTAAAACACTGCAATTACTACACAAAATTTGGATTTTATTCTTAAAGATAATAACCGAATAATAATATTAACAAAACATTCTAGGGTAAAAGTTATTAATATACATATAGTAGTATATTTTTAGAAGGTAGCAGCTCGTATTGATCCATACTCTATATCCTATGTAAACTAATGAAATTTTGTCGTCGTGACCTAACGGATAAGACGTCCGGTGCATTCATATTGAGCAATGCACCGGTGTTCGAATCTCGGGCGGGTACCAATTTTTCTAATGAAATACGTATTCGACAAATGTTCACGATTGACTTCCACGGTGAAGGAATAACATCGTGTAATAAAAATGAAACCCGCAAAATTATAATTTGCGTAATTACTGGTGGTAGGACCTCTTGTAAGTCCATGCGGGTGGGTATCACCACCCTGCCTATTTCTGCCGTGAAGCAGTAATGCGTTTGGGGGGGGGGGGGCAGCCGTTGTAACTATACTTGATACCTTAGCATTTATATTTCAAGGTGGGTGGCGCATTTACGTTGTGGATGTCTATGGGCTCCAGTAACCACTTAACACCAGGTGGGTTGTGAGCTCGTCCACCCATATAAGCTACAAAAAAAGAAGGGAAATAATATGTTATTTGGGTTCTGATTACACATGGAAACTCTTTGGACATTAAATTCGAATTACAAACAATAAAAGCGGGTATTGTTTTCATACAGGCTCATATCGTTGGAGGTTTCTCCACGACCGGAGATACAATGCGAGTCGGTAGCCTGGAGGCTGGTCGGACTTCTCGGCGGAGATCAAGGCTCAGGGATTCGTGCCAGGACTTCGCGGCTCGCGTCTGCCCTGGTACACTATGCACCAGATTCAAGAGACGCTATTGACTCGAGGAGAAGGCAGCTCGATGCTGCTGTCCAGGGTAAGACTAGATGTGCAGTTTTTAGTTTGCACTAAACTTTGGAATCGTTGTGATTTAAAGGTTAAGATACGCAGTTCACTCGTACCAAGTGGTGTGACTATCTTCTTCTCAGTCGCATGCACTCTTCGCAGAGTGGTCGTGGTCATCACTTCGGGTGTGACTATGCCGGTATTCAAATCTCTCGCAAGTACCAATTGTTCTAAAGAAATAATTATTTAACTTGAAGGTTTTGCTTGATTTTAGTTAAGCCACTCGTTTCGTTTTTTGTACTAGGCTATGGTTGATGAATAATAAATAAAGTCAATTACCTGACGCAATAACTTCTCCAAAGCTTCTAGCCGGGTATTGAAGCTAAATTTTCGTCTTCAATACAAAGCCGGAAATCAAGTACTGTTTTAAAAAAAATGCTTATCAAAAATCATTTCTGATCTCTAACGCGATACGATAATGCAATATGTGTCTTTGGTAGACCAGTGGTTTTAAATTTTAAAGCAAAATCTCATGTATGTCCACATTCGACATACCACTTCGATTAAGAATCCTCTCTAGGGTCTGCCGGAAGATTTTAATTTAAAAATAAAAAGCAGCACATTTAAACAACTATTTATATATCTATTAAGTTATTTTGAATATTATGTAAATTGTTAAAGTTCAAATGTCGCGTGCGGGTCATCATCATTTATCTTAATACATAATTTGTATCTATAGCGTTTCATCAGTGTATTAGTGCTTAGTATTCACAGGCTATTAATTATCTATTTACATTTTCAAGAGCGTGGACAATATTAAGACTGTATTTTCATCTTCTATCTATTAGCTAATAATGAAACCATTTTGATCAGTCAATGATTATCCACTGCACGGAGTTGCTTGCGAAAGGAAGTAAGTAGGTTTAATATCTGATTTCCTACGGCGAACGGATAAAATAATTCGAGCAGGTGGCACCGAGGAAGCATTAGAGTAATTGCGTTCATTTCCTCTCCAGCGGGATTTCTGATGTTGTTTTTTGTGATCAACATTATTGTCGCCATTTAACCTGTCCGAATTATGTAGGATACAATTTTGATTTAACGTTCCGAACTTTTTTACGTCTGTTTGTTTTTATGCTTGGGATAAATCTAGTGGACATGAAAGGCCTTTTATCTACTTCTTTATGTTTTCTTTTAGAACTTCATTCTGCTTTCTGAATACGTTTCTTTGTTCGAAAGTTTTTCAAAAATCGATTCCTTGAATTGGTACAGACGCTTGAGGTTTTTCTCGTTATAGTGTATTTGGGAAAAACTCGATTTTTACTATAGATAATGATGTGGCAATGAGGTCGTACGAGGGGTTTTCCAAAATTTTGAAAATTTGAACTAAACATACAAGAGAGAGAAAGAGAGACAGAGTATTCTTTATTGTACACCAAAAAACAAATAAACAGTGCGATATATTAAATACAATAAAGTACAATTGGCGGTCTTATCGCTAAGAGCGATCTCTTCCAGACAACCGTCAGGTGGAGAAGAATCATTTGGAAACGAACTACTCACGGTGTACCAATCCAGTGAAATATGTATATATACATATATGTACACATATATACATTTATACATATATCTGTAAATATACAAGACATTTATAATAGCTTCAATGAGCACTAAGTGACTGTAAAATTTGTTCTAGGTCTTGGAACACACGGACTCACAGCAGACTCGTCAGGTACTCTGATATCCTTACACGTTGCCATGAAGAATGAATTGCAAAGGCACGTAGAGGTCTACAAACAAGCATTACACAAGCTGGAGGAACTGGTAATCTGTTTTAAACTTATGATAGTTACATCCCCAATGATTTTATAAAATCTTATGATATATTAAGTTCTAGTTTTTGGCACTTTATTTATTTATTGCTTTCTTATATGGGTAGACGAGCTCATACCCTACCTGGAGTTAAGTGGTTACTGGAGCTCATAGACATCTACAACGTAAATGCTGCCACCCAGCTTGAAATATGAGTTGGTGTCAGTTCACAGTACAACGGCTGCCCCTCCCCACAAATCGAAAGGCATTACTGCTTCACGGCAGAAATAAGCGGGCGGTGGTTTAACGAGAAACTATTAATATTTCCAGTCACCGGTGACAGTAAACCAGGATCCAGCTTCGTCGTCCCACCAGCGTCTACTCGCTCTCTCCCACGCTGACGTGGAGCGTCGACTGATTGACAACAAGTCCTTGCTGACCATCGTTGATAAGCCAGCCTTAAGACAGCTACCCACATTGGTAGCATCTTTAGCAGCAAGGGTGGAGAGCGACAAAGCAGTGCTAGCCTGTATTGGACAGATCAAGAGAACTGATCCGACTTTAGATTTGAGCGATACGAGGTAAGTTAGCATCCATTTGAAACTACGAAAATTTCTAATGACTTTTTTTTCTTGCCCTACCTAGCTTAAGGGGCTATGCCAATTTCACGCGGATCGGTAGGTGAGCTCACGGGCTCAACTCGAGAGAATTGCTTACACTAACCCTAGCAAGAGTAGTGCTTTGCTGAATCTACTACCGGATCGGAATCGCGACCCACTAAGAAGCTCAGGCGAGAAACTCAGTGGGCTAGATGAGTTTGTTTCGATCTTTAATTCGCAAGTTAATGATAGAAACGATTTGTTTCAAACTTCAGAGCCGAAATATCCTGAACATATAAATGGTGAAAATCGTATTAAGAACCCGCTAAATAATATATAGTTAATAATAAATTTTGTCTTTATTGTTTGATACTTGAGTTACTTTGAATTATTTAAGAGATGATTAAAATTTTAGAATACAGTTTGATACGTTAGCCTCCGACGAAGAATTGGTATTTATTAAGAATTCTATAACTATGAATAGAAAAAAGTTATTGTCGTATCTTATCAACACACATTTTGGTAATAAAAAAATTGACATCACGAACAACATGACATTACAAGTTTTCGGAATGAGTCCAGTATAAGATTTACTTATACCGAATAAGTATTTAAATAAAGACGTTTTGGCGTTAACAGATTGAGATACGGTTTTTGTCGTAGACTTCTATTTTTTTATTGTCTGCCATAGCGGAACAAGCTTAGTGCAGCTAAGTCAAGCCTACATGTAACAGATCCAATCCAAGCTTATTTGAAGTGTGATTACCCCCCCCCCCCTTGTCTCTGTTATCTTAAGGGACTATTCCAGCTATGGTCAGTTTGGTAGGTGAACTCACAGTGCTCAACCTGAGAGGACTTGTTTTTTTTTATATATATGGTATTTATACTATCCCGTTTTCCCTGACGTTGTCAGAGCTCTTATATAAAATGTTTTAATTATTTTTTATATTTATTTATTCTTTGATTAGTTCTTTTTTTTGAGAGGACTTGTTAAAGCACTACCTCTCGCTAGTGCAGTGCGTTGCTTAAACTATCACCGGAACAGACTCGCGATCCGGCGGGAAAAACAGTGGTTTTGTCATTGTGACACACGAATCCATGGTGTTTCCCGAGCGCTATGACATGTCCTTCTTCAAACGAGGTTTGTGAAGAGTATCAGCGGTAGGTAGCGTCTTGGCTCTGCCCCTGGCATTGCTAAAGTCCATGGGTGACGGTAACCACTCACCATCAGGTGGGCCGTATGCTCGTCTGCCTACAAGGGCAATAAAAAACTCGATTTACCCAAAAATATTATCAAGCCCTTCCGTCTTAATAAACTCCTCATTTTAGCCCTAGGTGAAGCACAAGATCGTCTGCTCTAGCAATATAACTAAATTGATTTAATAATAAATAAATTGATGTAGCTTAAGATTGAAATCAAATTCAAGTGCATTTATTATGAAATATTGAATCAGCGAGTATAAATAAAAAGATAATGGTAAAATTACGAATTTCCTTAAGAACTAGGATGCGATGATATAATCTGTAGACGGAAAAGGGAAATCGCTTCTCACACGTTCAACACACAAGTTAAGTCTGTTACGTTTCCTTATGTGAACATTACGCGGCATTGTTATGCGATTTGAACGCGTAATTGTGATTTAAAAGCGTCTGTAGATTTCCCTTCGATTTACTAGAAAAGCGTTTTGTGATGTGGCAGATTTAATACCCTACTCAGACACAGCCCACTGAGTTTCTCGCCGGATCTTCTCAGTGGGTCGCGTTTCCGATCCGGTGGTAGATTCTGCGAGGCACGGCTCTTGCTAGGGTTCGTGTTAGCAACGTCGACAGGTTTGAGCCCCGTCACCTACTAGTTAAGGTTACGCTGACATAGCCTGTCAAGGCTTATCAGCTTAGGTAGGAAATAAAAAAAAAAAACCCTACAGTAGTACACCTGAAGCTAGTCGCATGCTTTAATGTTTTACTAAGACATCTGGAAGATGAAGTCGTCGTGGCCTAAAGGATAAGACGTCCGGTGCGTTTATATCCAGCGATGCACCGGTGTTCGAATCCCGCAGGCGGGTACCAAATTTTCTAATGAAATACGTACTTCACAAATATTCACGATTGACTTCCACGGCGAAGGAATAACATCGTGTAATAAAAATAAAACCCGCAAAATTATAATTTGCATAATTACTGGTGGTAGAACTTCTTATGAGTCCGCACGGGTAGGTACCACCACCCCGCCTATTTCTCCCGTGAAGCAGTAATATGTTTCGGTTAAGGGCGGGGAAGTCGTTGTAACTATACTGAGACCTTAGAACTTATATCTCAAGTTAAGTGGCGGCATTTACGCTGTAGATGTCTATGGGCTCCGGTAACCGCTTAGCACAAGGTGGGCCGTGAGATCGTCCACCCACCTAAGCAATAAAAAAAAAAAGATGTTGGGTAGAGGGTCTCCCGATGTCAGTACTCATCTTTAGACAAGGTTAAAATTTCAATCGTATTGTGTAGTGATTATTCACCTATTCGAATTGCAATGCATAACTGCTTCGCTGCAGAAATAGGCGGAATGTTGGCACCCCCTCGGGCAGGCTCGCAATACGCCCTACCAATAGTAATAATTACTGAAACCAATTTGGCAGTTTCGATTTTAATTACATGTTGTTGTTCTTTCACCGCGAAAGTCGTACGTGACATATTAGGTCAATAATACAGTCAGTGACATGGCAAATGATTGAATGCCTCTCTAGAATATATTATACATATACAAAAAAGGCGATGATACAAATGTTTGTTTCCTATAAAATCCGAAAGGGCTGGATTGATTTCGGTGAAATATTCAGAAAGAAATGTTCAGAAGTGTACCAGAAGGCCAGCACGTGATCCCGAGAAGCTTGGAAGCGATCGAGTCAAAGCTAAATCAAAGATCAGCCAGCAAAGCGCGCCGGGTTCGACGAGTAATAAATAAAAATCGGAAACTTCAAGCTTATTACGAAACGATTTTCAAGTAATTTAAAACAAGCTCTATAATTTCACCGCTAAACTTCTTATACCTTTCACCTCACTGAATTCAAATAAGTTATTCTAATAATATTTGAATCGAAGCGCCCGGCTGACTATAAAATGAATAGAGTTTATACAAATTAAATTTTTTTTTTTTTTTTCTCAAGTCAAAGTTACGCTATACTCTTATGAGGAGATCTAAATTAGAGGAATAGGAATTTGGTAGTCGTATTAAGAACATTGATACTACCAGTACTAACCAACAGAGCAGTGTATTCGTTTGGATAGGCTCTGCGTCGGTTTTCCCTTTTTTGGAGTGTGATTAGTAGTCAAACAAATATATATTTTTTATTGCTTACATGGGTGGATGAGCTCAGAGCCCACCTGGTGTTAAGTGATTACTATAGCCCATAAACATCTACGGCGTAAATGCGGCACCCACCTTGGGATATAAGTCCTAAGGTCTCAGTATAGTTACAACGGCTGCCCCATCCTTCAAGCCGCAACGCATTACTGCTTCACGGCAGAAATAGGCAGGGCGGTGGTATCTACCCGTGCGGACTCTGGAGGTCCTACTACCAGTAAGACCTCTAGTTACTAAGTTACTAAGATTTTCTTACTCTTTAAACTGTTCCGTATTAAAGCAATACTTTCTATGACAGCTACTTAATCACTTTCTTGACTTAGAAAAGAACGCACCACGGACAAAAGCCAATAGAGCGTCAAACAAAATATTCATTTAATAAAATTTTGTTAAAAATTGTATATTAACAAAACAATAGCTATTTAGTTACACAATTATTTTCATGGGCGAGCAAAGAATATGCAGTTCAGAGAAATGTACGTGGGAATGGTTTTATTAAGCATTGTGTGGAGCATTTCATCATATAAGAATTTTAATAATACGTCATTTTGTATTGTTAGTTTGTTCGTTTCTCAGATTGTGAAGAGCTTTAGAGAGGATACTAAATATATATTATTGGCTTGGGTGTATCGGTGGGTGCGATTTTTTAAGGTTTGTACAATTTTCATGATTACGAAATTTGTAGATGCAAAGTCAGGGCTTTTGTGTTTCGCTTTTTTGTTGTTAGTTCGATAGTAAAAGTCAAGAAATATGTTTATTTCGAAATATATACGGTAGTCAGCTTAATTTATATATTAATACGTGAAGCAAAAACTTTGTATTCCTTTTTACGAAAATTGCACGGACGGAAGAGTGACATTTTCCACACTTATAGAGAATATAGAGAAAAAGTGCACAATGCTAATATTTTTTTAATATAATGCATAAAATATACATGAAATCAATAAAGAAAACATTACACACACTACATACCATGTATTTGACGCACACACGCATGCATACTATTTATTGTCAAACTTTTGTTCTTAACGTCTGTTGTCAAATTGAGAATAGATTAAATATTATTTGTCTTAGTTAATATTTTTTATATATATTTGCAGTCTTGGCGAAATTTGTGATTACAGAAGTATAAAATACAATCATAATAGTGTACAAACTTACAATTCCAATTAATTATAGTCGAATATCGACTACTGCAGGACCTCTAGTATTTATAATAAGTTGTTACGACGAATTACGCTTTAGTTGATCCAAAATCGAGAAAACTATAGTATTTGTCGTAAATGTTGTCGTAAACGTCGGAAACAATAAGAGAAACAAACAGTACACGATTATTTAAGCAGTAAAAGAAGTTTGAATTAGCTTACAGCTGCGAATATTAAAGGATTAATTAATCAAATTACTTAGTTACTAGCGACCCGCCCTCGCTTCGCTTCGGAAACATTAAAACTCACATGAAACCAAAAAAATACATTAAAAAAAAAATTAAAAAAAGTAGCCTATGTTCATCAGAGACAATGTCGGATTCTAATGGAAAAAGAATTTTTCAAATCGGTTCAGTAGTTTCGGAGCCTATTCGAAACAAACAAACAAACAAATCTTTCCTCTTTATTATATTAGTATAGATTAT